CCAAGCTGAGTGTTTTTTCAACCCATCTCAACACCTCACGTTATCTGCTGGGAATCAGCAAAGACGGAAAGGAAAATATTGGCCCTTCCTCTACCATCATCAGGGTTTGTCGATAGTTAACTTGGGGAAGATTTTGGATAAAATAGTGACAAACACCAGCAGAGGGTGCATTGCTGCCACTGTAATGCCCGTTCTTACACTGTAAGTAACCATAAGTAACCATTGGTGCAGCAAAGCTTTGGACAAATCCTGCACATTCCATTTCTGTGGAGCTGCCTACACGAGGGTGCACAATCAAAAGTAGGATTAAAGACCAAAGTCGGTGAAGCCAGTTGCTTTAAAGAAGAAGGAAAAAAAAAACCCAAACAACTAAGGAGATGTAATGTGCCTTTTGTGCTGTGCACTCAAGGCATTTTGCAGCTTTTCTTGAAATATCCATCATAAAAGTACTTCTTTGATCTGCTGTAAGCAGCCACTCCCAGAAGGAGTGAGAGACACCTCGTTTCCTTCCTTCCTTTTCTTATCCTGACCTACCAGTCTGGAATGCAGTTCACCTCTGAGCATTTTCAGATGTATCATTTTCGGAGAGGTTTGCATGTCACAACACACAACCAGGGCTTACTTCACTGCTCACAAAGCCTGTACATGACAGCCAAAGAGAGGAGCCACGTACAGTGTCTGGCCATCCTGCGCTTCACCTACGTATGCGCCCTTGTCTGCAGAAGGGGAATAACAGAGTTAAAATAACAAATATTCATCTTGCCCTCAACATATGTAGGACCCGAGACTGCGAAGTTACAAAACCAGTGGTACATGGTACAACTGAGTGTCAGTTTAGGCTAATCTATGATTCTGTTGCTGCAGCCCTACATGCCTCCGGCACATCCCTTTGCAGCAGGAATCACGATGTACCTCCTCCCCCAAGGACATCCCACCTGGTGACTGGTGAAAGCTAATCACTTTTTGTAGGGTTAGTTTCCAGCCAGATAACAGGTTTTCAGCTTCCTCAACTGAATTGCTACACAGCAGCACAACCCTCAATGTACAGGAGAGAGGGACAAAACACAGTGTCATGAGATCAAGGCTTCTTCTAATCGTGCAGAAAATCATCCTTTTAGGCTTAGTGTGCTGTCACTGGATTCACAGTGAGTATTGAAAGAGATTTTAAATTCCAAACTGCCCTTCAGAAGTGCCCCTATAACCCCAAGTACCATAGGTCTGTGGGTGCTTAAGCTGGAGTCACAACTAAATTCCAAGACATAGTTGGCATTAATCAAGACCATAATGTTGCCCCACCAAATGGCAAGGGAGTTGAGCACAGCATAAATGCACACTTAAAACTGCAGCACAATAAAAATAATGATGATAATAATAATAATAAAACCCCAGCATAACCAGTATGGTTATGTGTGGGTTAGCTGAAGATGGCCGGAGGGAGGAGATGCCATGCATTCCTGAATGCACTGCAAGGAACTTTCAGTCCCACTGACTTCAGTAGGGCTTCAATACAGCTGTGTCTCTGCTGTGGAAAGGAACTGCTTAACACAGCATCGTGGGGTTCCTTGTTTTTTGTCTCCGAGCAACTCCTGGCAAAGCCACTGGTTAGTAATTGAAAACATATTTTTCCCACTCGCCAGGACTGCAAGCCGTACCTGGATTGGCTTCTTTTCTTTCACTTTTTGTTGTTGCTGCCACTGATAGATTTGCAAATCTGGCTCCTTGACTAGGTGCTGACTTCACAAACCCAAGTTTGGCTACTGAAGTGGGGGAAGGGGGAGCCTGACCTTGGAGCAGATTATTTCCCCTTTAGTGGGATGGCTCTGCCTGCAGCTTGACGCCAGATAATAAGTGGCATTCAGTGTCAGCCCAGCAGCTGCCATGCAGGAGGTCTGTCCCTTCAGGCAGCTGCTGCTCATCTCCCGGCAGCTGGCAGCGGAAGTGACATCTGTTTTTGGTCCCAGCTGTGAGCAGCGTGGAGGTGCCAAAGCCCAAACGCCTCAGTTCTCGATCCAGGAGCGAGGAAGGGTTTCTGATGCCAGACCACGGCCTGGCTTGTGGAGTGAAGGGAGCGGAGAATCGTCTCCTTCGACGATGGTGGGCTGGGAGGAATGGAAAAAGAGTGACAAATACAGAGAGAAAGAATAAGCAACAGAAGGGGGGGAAAGGATGCAAGAAGGGTGCAGGAGAAGACAGGAATGGCTCAAATGAAAAGAAAATGTGAAATCTGAAGTGTCCAGTCTGAGGGACAGAGACAAAAGGAAGGAGGCAGAGTAATGCAAAAGAAAGAGATGAAGAAGTAGCAACAAACAACTAACCCAGGGATATGATCATCGAAAATGGCTGCTGAACAGGAAAATGCCTTATTGAGCTGCCACCTCAAGTGCTACTGAATCTGGAAGGCATTCCTGCCCACAGCCCTTAGCCTATTGTGCCATTCAAGGGGTCCCCCCTGCAAGTTTTGCCATCTGGAGAAGCTCTGGTATATTCTCTCGTGACTCCTTGCTTCTCCATGTTATTTAAATTCATATCACTTTTTCCTTGTCCAAGTCCCTTACTCTCTCATTTATCTTTGTAACTGTGTTATAATTCAGTGTTGTGGCATTTTAACTGAATTACAATTTAAGTTTCTGAGACAGGAATAGGTGCAGGATGAAGGACAAGATCCATTTCAATCTAAAGACTGAAAAGTATACTTAAATTAACCTTGGAATAAATAAAATAAGAAATTTCACTTTGCTCCCCAGGTTTGTGTATGTAAGGCAAGGAACTATAATCTGTCATAAACGTATTTTCACAGTTGGGCCTGTTTCCTCAGCACAGGTGCTGCAATTGTGTTTTTTAGATCTCACAACTAATTGAGTATTTCTGGAAGAAATAATGAAGGAAAATGTATATCTAAAAGGAGCTTTACAGCCCTGTCAATCAAAATCAACTTACACTGTGAAAAAATGCAGTGTCAGTGATTGCTTCTTTCCCTTGCTGCTTGCCAGAAGCACAAGACAAACTGAATTGTGGTAAACAACCAGGTTGGGGAATGGGCCGAGGGAGATGAATGTCATAAAAAATTACAAGTCTGAAGTTGAAAGTGCAGGCATTTGGGCCACAAAGATTTGAGCCCATTTCCATACTTTACCTTGATATCTCATTGTTGGCACCCAGAGCAGGGCATCAGTCATGGAATTGGGTGCCATTACAAATTATTCAAAATCGGGTGCTAAAGACTGGATTGATTGGGCAGGAATAAAGAAAGCAGTTTTATAAGTCTCTTGGAATTCAGCTCTTCAAGGCTGGCCTTAAATATAACTGTATTTATAGTTGAACTTCTTTTCATGTTATAATTACATATCTCTAGAACATAAAAATAATATATAATTTATACCTTAAAATTTCATACGAGATTTTACCAATGCAAGCCCTTGAAGATATTGTTCTTTTTACAAGTCTCAGCAGCTCTCCCTGTTTCAGTGAGAATTAGTTGGGATTTTAATAAGTGATTTTTGAAACAAACAGGAGGAAAGTCCTCTGAATACCATTCTATCATTACCTATACAAGGAGAAGAATTGACCATCTAGTAAATTATGCATCTGAATTAATCAATCAATAACTAAATACTGGGTTTTTTCCAGTCAGACAGGAATAAGATTAGTGCATCTGGCATACAGACCAGAGAGAATAATCAGCAATCTTAAAAACCATGAGGTTGAGGCAGTACTAATACTCTGAAGGGCTCAATTTGTCCCATAACACACAGTTGTTAACAATTACCAGTCATCAGAGCAGTCACACTGATGCAGGACAAAGGTAACTCTGCCCCCAGCCTCTGGCACCTAAAGGAACACTGTTAATATGAGCCTATTCCTGAGATCCAAAACCTTCCTCAACAGGAACGAAGGGAAGCATCCATTGTCTGCACATCTTGGTGGACGCTTTATAACATGAACCAGAATTTTTCAGATCAAAGTTATGGACAAAGAGAAAGGAGATACAAAATAAAAAGCTTTTGCATGTCTGGAAGTGAATGTGCTCTTCTTCATACATAAAATCCAAGCAAAAAGCAGTGAGCAGTAGCAAGTGTCCTAGACATGGAGAACAGGGCAAACAAAGTATGTCTCTTCTCCGGTGGAGTGACCTACAGACAGGAAAAGTTGCTGTATCCTCAGAAAGTGCCAAGTAGTAATTGGAAACCTTACATGTCTTTGGAAACTTCTCTTTGGGTGACATCTACAACAGCACTGTGGCAATGATGAGAATTTGATGTCACACAGAAATACAAATTTGAATGCACCAAAAGCTTCACGGCATCCAGAAACACTTTTTGTTCTGCAGCCTACACTAATTATCAAGATGAGCTAAAAGCTTCATTGTGGTATTTTAAAGTCAACTAAAGTTGACTCTACTATGCTACTGATTGCAATAGGGTAACATCTCACTTTGTTTCTCTTTGCTTTTTGGTTTGGTTTTGGGATGTTGGGTGTTTTTTGTTTTTAATTTCACCATCTTCTATCCTTTTCATTCTTTCAGCCATTTTTAGAGGACCATCAAACCATTTTTTTTTTCAAGCTAGGCAGCCTGAAAAGGTAAAGAAAGAAAGAAAGACTGTAAGTAGAAATTCTTCTGCCTGACTTCTAAGACAAAAAAAGTAATTTACATTTCAGATTTTCCATGAAGTAGGTTAGTTTCAGTACACAAATCTAATTTACTTGACTTGGCAGTTACAAAAAGCATTTCTAGGGCCATATTCTGCATTCTCTTTTCTGATGAACATTACCCAAAGAATACTAATTAGAGTGCTTAAGGGGTAAGGTAAGCAAGGCTGGCAGAGTCTGAGCTTTTATTTATACTCTGTTATCTCTGTCCAAATGTTCAAAGCAATATGGGTGGTGACTGATTCACTAGTTAAATTCAAAACAGCATGTGTGTACAAAAGGCTGCCAAGTTTCTCATGTATACTGCTATTTGTGAGAAGCTATGCACAGACAAAAAACAATCAAACAGTTTCTTAATTTCATTTTATATTTTTATTCCCATTGTAAGTACTAACAATCACCCAAAAGACCATTTCAATTTGGTTTGGATACACAATAGCATTAATCACAGTCCAGTTTCTCTTTGTTTTTTTTTTTACTGCAGTTCTAGTATTTCGTGATCTGTTTTAGTAGTTCTGTTGTTGGTGTATTTGCTTCCAGCAAAATAGATTTTTCCGTGTTTGTAGATTATTTGAAAAGATTGTTAAAGATTAAAAAATCCATAATGCAATGATTAACAGTACATTAGCAATTAATCTTATTATCTTCCTTTTAAGATTAGTACTAAGTATATTTGATGACCCAAAATTTACTTTTTGTTGTGCGTTGTCTGTTTTCTTTTCAAAATAAGTCCATAAACAACTATATTTTTTCATTACAGCAGTTCATTGCAGTATCATTTTTAATTGGATGGAAATCCTTTTAGGAGAATGTAAGTAAAACAACCCTAAAAAATAAAGGGTTTTGTTTAAGCAAATGATGTTACACACAAACCAGCGTTAAGGTAATATCATGATGTATAAATTAGAGTGGTTAGAAAACATTAAGGATGCTAAATTCACTTGCTTATTAATTGGGGAAAACACATCGCATTGTATTTTTGTCTTCAAGCAAAGAAGACTCACAAAATATGCTCAAAGAGACATCTTTCATCATGTCTTTTAAAAGCCTGTGAAACGAATTCCTTCATCAAATTTATTAATGTAAAAGAAAATTCAGAAAACTTATTTGTGAAAGCTGTCCTGTTAAATTATGAATACCAGTAATAAATTCTTTAGTTCTTCATTTATTTGCATACTCTGCATATGAACAGACATGAATGAACAAAATATACCTATTGTATAGCCATACAAAAAGCTAATATGAATGTTTATGTTGTACAATGTCAGAAAGGACAAATTATTAATCAAAGTAGAGAGGAGAAAGAAGCCAAGAAGAAAGCAGATGATGCACAAGAACTTTGTTAGTTGTCTTTGCATGACTTCTGTGTGGAAGAAAATGTCTGCTTTGGATATGGAATCCTCAGCTAAAAACTTTTTATTTTATTATGCAGTGAAGGAAGTTTTGGGATCAAGATCAGCTTCTAAAAGGGATTTAAACTAGAGTTATAGATAGTCATGTCAAGGGAAAGAGGAAGGGAACCAAGTGCAGAGCATGAGAGGGTGTGGACCATGGTGGGAGTAAGGGGAGGAATGCTGTTTTTAGAGGGAAACTTGCTGAACTGACAGTGCTCTCACTCAGGACAGATTGAATCGGGGACTCACTGAACACTTCTGGTGGGAATACTGCTCCAAGACTGTATTCTAGTCACAGCAGGTACATAAGACACTAACCTAGCCCCTTCACAAATTGCAGGAGAGATGGAATTCCTGAGTCTGCTGCATAAGGAGGGACAGATGTTTTCATGGACTCTTCTTGTATTGCTCTTAATGGTTGTGACACCTGGAGATACTCCACATAATAATCATTCACAATTTCATCTTTCTGTCCCAGTTGTGCACACTTGATTATCCATGGAGCATATATTTGAATTCATAAGGCCTAGTCTCTTGACTACTATTTAATACAAACATATGTTAATCAGCAAGAGATGAAAATTGTATTTTTATAGCTGAGCTAACAGAACCTTCCTATTTCTCCATGACCTATAGATTGGGTAGTGAAACATTTTTTTCGGTCCTAACCCTTTTCTCACCCTTTAAGCATTCATACACACATACATGCATATACATACACAGACGTGCAAAAACAGAGTATTTGCACTACAGTAACTCAGTGGTGCTACAGGAGCTAGTTCTGAATGATGGCACGTGGGCACTGGAAGAAGCGTAGCACCAAAAGGCTACAGCCAGAGCATGCTGCATCTGGAAAACTGGGGTTTAGCACCTTGTTGTCCCCATGCATGTCTTTTCTTTGATTTGAGGTTACCTTCATTTCACAGAGGACGGAGACCTGACCCTTCCCACACTTCTTGCAATATGTGTTTCTGTTGATGTCAGGAAGGCTACACTCTGTAATGAACTCTACATTCACTGATAGGTATTACAGCAGCAATTTTTAAATAATTTCATATAAAGTAGATAAGCTGTGCTTTAGGATTAATTTATCTTAAATAAAATTTAAGTCATGCAGTCCTAGAGTACAACACACACACGTTTAAAGACAATTCTGCATGAATGCTTTGGTGTCCTGTGTGCACCTTTTTAAATGATCAGTACCTTAAAAAACATTTCAGTATCATTCCTCACAGTATGCACCCAGTGTATCTCAGAATGATTTGTATTTCCTATTACACTTTATACATAACAGCAGACTTGCATTTTAAGTATCAAAAATATGCTGTTAAAGGACCTTAATAGTAAATGGCATAAATCCATAGTTTTAATCAAAGGGTAAAATGACTTAAGACCTTTGGTGAATAGATGATGAAAAAAAAAGGTTTCCAAAAGCTGCACATGATTTATGGTCTTATGCTACCAACAGCTGGCCAATCAGCTCCGGGTTTCTGTCTTTTATTAATGCCATGATAAGAGCAGCAGCAGAATTTACTGTCTCCTGAAGAAGCGAAGGGTCCTGGAAAAAAAAAGGGGGAGAGCAGGGAAAACAATATGTTTACAAAAGTAGCAAAAGTAAATATTTAAAAACAATTTTCACGTATGCCAAATTACCATATGATTGTTGAAACAAATAAAACCATTTATTTGTACTTATTAGAAGAACTTCTAAAAGTTGTATTTTAAGGAAGCACAATTTCATAGTAATAACCATTTTCTCTAATCTCCACGATGCAAAACTACTAGAATTAATGCCATCTATCCAGAGACCACTTGCTTCCTTACTGATTTTTAAAATCTAAAAGGCAGTAAAAATGTTGGGTTTGAAAACATGGAAAAAAATGGAGGATTTAATTGAGTAGCTTAGTTAAAGACCTGCAACTGTAAGCATTTACTGAATCCCACCCATAATCTACAAACTACTTAAACGCAAAGGCATTTAAGCACTGGGACTTCACTGGTTTAAGTTGATCTTCGTATGAGATAACTTTAAAAAGTAGGTTGGTTTTGATAGGCAAGTACAGAAACCAATACAGGAAACAGTAATAAAATGAGACATTGATTCTGTGCCTCTAACTGAGTACTCCAGCTCACATTTGAAAGAGTCTTTTGTCTAATTGCCAAGTATTTTTAGTTGTATTGGCTATAAAAGGTTGGCCTTTTCCTACCACTAACATTTCCATTTGCACACTAGGAAAATAGCAATAGGTGTAGCCAGGCACAGAGACATCCCTGGAGAGAGAAATAGGAGGGAACAATTTCTATGAAGCAACAGAGAAAAAGGAAGGTCTATAAAACTCTAGGGTAGGGAGAACCTAGAATTTATAAATACAGAAGGGGAGCTACAAAGAGAAATCAAGATCTGTGCTCCATAGCCATGATGGAGAAAACTGGATGCAATAGGTTTTGACAGTAAGGACTGGTATACAGTGGAACAGACAGATCAAGGAAACTCATCATGAGGGTCCTATAGTATGAGAATGTAAAATAGGATGCAGATACAGCTTCCTGCCCAGGGTAGAAGGATGGAGCAGTTTGAATCTGTATCTTTTCCCCTCTTTTTTTATTCAGACACTGCATGAAGGAAGAAATTGTAGAGAACCTTTGAGAAACTCAGATTAATGGAGAAAGAAGAAACTGTTTTCACAATTTGTACAGAAACATAATATCCAAACCTGCTTTTTAAGGAATAAGGCGACTGCTGAAGGGACCTACCTATTCAACTAGCACAGAGGGGAGCTGGAGATTAAGAAATTGAAGTGGAAGGAAAAACCAGAAGGGGAAGAGTGTCCCTGGAACACTCTCTATGTGGAAGCAGGTCCAAAGAAGGGCCACAAAAATCATGAGAGGGCTGGAGCACCTCTTCTAAGAAGACAGGCTGAGAGAGTTGGGGTTGTTGCACCTGGAGAAGAGAAGGCTCTGGAGGTGACCTCACTGAAGCTTTTCATTACTTAAAGGGGACCTACAAGAAAGATGGAATCAGATCTTCTAGTAGAGCCTATAGCAACAGGGCAAGGGGTAATGGTTTTAAAATAAAAGAGGGTCAATTCAGACTAGATATAGAGAAGAAAGTTTTTATGACGGGGTGGTGAAACACTGGAGCAGGTTTCCCAGAGAGGTGGTGGATGCCTCACTCCTTGAAACATTTAAGGTCGGGTTGGACAGGGCTCTGAGTAATCTTATCTAGTTGAAGATGTCCCTGCTCACTGCAGCAGGACTGGAGTAGATAACTAACCTTTAAAGGACACTTCCAAACCAAACTACTCTATGATTCTATGATAATGCTCTTAATAACTTTGTGATTTATGTAAATTACAGGAAACATGCCAGAGAGGTAACTGGATAGAATCAAAAATAGCTAGTTTATAACTGATTCTTTTACAATTCCTGAAAAAAATGATGTTTGTATTCAACTAGCATTTTGTCCTAAAAATCATGAAATAAGTAAGCTGTTACAATTTGTAACTCTGCAAAAGATTACACTCCACAAGTTCATGTTATATATTCTAATATGAAGTAAAATTATTTATTAGAGTTATAAAAAACTGTGGTAGGATAAAAATATTCAACACGTTTGTATATTGCAGTTCACTGAGTAGCACCTCCTATCAGTCAAGCAAGGAGTGCGGAATTGTACTTAGGTCCTGCTCCTTCAGGACCTTTTGTCATGGACCGAGGGTTCGGTAGGATTTTTATTCCCTCATTTCCCATGGGTATAAACTGCTGTATAATACATGAGGAGAGCGGAAGTCATGTGTTCGCACCCACTCAGACAGCAAACACTGCAGTCGCTTTCAAGATCGAACAACACATTTCTTGCTATTCAGCAATGCCAAATCTCTATGTGCCCCTCATAATATTTTGCTCAGTTTGCCTTGAGAAGCACTTCACAATAACAGACACTGTTTTCCAAATGGGCTTCCAGCCATATCTGAAGTTGGCTGGAGGTGTATATTTTTTTTTCTATTTCACAAGAAAGAAATAAAATACACCTGGCCAGGAATGCTCTTAATGTTTCTCCCAATAAATCTTTCCACATCCTCTGTTGGTTACTGGATTCAGTACACATTCCATTGCAGCAATAAATTATTTAAGTTTTTGAACATAAAAGGAAGCAAGAGAAAGAAATTTAACTTTCACAGGAGAAATTGAATGTGACACCGTAAGATTCTTTTAGACTGAAAAAAGCCTTTTCTAAAGCCAAACCTAAGGCCTTAGTGTTAATTTCCATGTTCTGAAAGAAAGACGTGCAAAAAATTACGAGTAATATTTGTAACACAGGCAATGTGGCAGAGTAATGCCAGAAACCTGCATGCAGAAGAGGTCTATAAAGCACCCTGCAATTGACTGCTGAATTGAAATTAGTTCAAAAACAGAAACACAAAAAGTAGGCAGCACAACTTAAAACTTCAAATTTTACAATTACTTTGCTTCCAACAATCTGATCATTAATGCTGATATTATAACTCCTCAGGAAACCTACCAGCCCCTGTGCAGGATTGGTCCTGTTAAGTGTGGTTTTTGGAAATAACCAGAAGTGTTTTTCTTTAGGGGAATATACATTCTCATATTTAAGATAACAAATGTAATGGAAAATATATCCTTAATTCTTAGTACAGTTACAGTTGATGGTTTAATGACCTTGTGAAGCATGTACTGAGAATTTCAATAGGGAGATCCTTTAAAGTATTTAGCATAAGGGCTACTAATCTTAGATTTATGCTGTTGCTCCTTCCCGGTAACCCACTCTGATCTCAGGGTCACCCATTCATTGAAAAGTATCCAGCACCCGGGCCTACGAGCCAGCCTCTGAGTGCAGGGGAAATCAGTCCCACAGAGGTCAAGTATGTGCTTACTCTAACTTGCTTTACTCTCACAGCCACAGTTTTACTGGAAAGAGGTAGTAAATAACACAATGCACTGGACTTCTCCAGGAATTTCAAAATCATGGTATATCCTGTACCTTTCTGAGAATAAAAACTCGCTTTCATGCTATGAATCATTATTGTAGTAACCCACAATCATTGCCTGGGCATAATTTAAAACTTTTATTGATCATTACTAGTCATTACCACCTGCTAGGACTTTATTTCATTTTAGGCCATTACTGTGCCCATAAGTGGATATTTTCAATGTGCTGCCATGATACTTAGCTTTTTCTTAAGTACTTATATGTAATTTGGACACCAGCAGAATTTATAGAGAATATTGAAAAGAATTAAAATTACAGAATCCAACAATAACCCAGGAAAGGAAAAGAATCTCGTGGGTCTTTATTAATTTAAACAAACAAGCGAACACTTCAAATCCCCCAGCTATACCCTTAAAACACCCATGTTTTTGATACTGCAATGTTATTTCTGGCAACAGTGCCAATTACAGCTGATAATACCTACAGAGAGGCTTCTATACAGATGCCAGGACAAAGTTAATCTACCACACCTAACTCCATTGCACAGGCCACCAATCTTCTTTTATACTCGATAGCATAGCACTAAATCTTTCAAAAATCTCATTATTAGTAGCAGGAAGTCAAATAATGAAGCAGAACTAGGTCTTCAAATGTCTAATTGCCTGACGTGTTTGCATATATTGTAAGCATGATAAAAACCAGGGTGTCAGAACAGGACAATCAATGCAAAGTCCACGAGAGCTTTCGCACGTCACTGCCCACCCACTGCTCAGCGCCGCAAACTCAAGCAGAGAAGGTCCCTCAGCCAGTCTATGAGTGCACATCCATGCATATACTGGATGGATCAAACACAAATAGTTCTCTTCCTCATTAATCTAATCCTTAAAAAAGACCCTGACTTTTAAATAAAACTCGGAGGCAGTAATGACTTTAATGGATTAATAACTGAAGTTCCACATGATCCCCCCAAACCATAGTGATATTCACTGTCTCTTCATTTCATCCAGTTGATTTAAATGATCCTCCTGTAAGAAGAAAAACCAAGCCCCCCTAACATTTCTTGGCTATTAATAAATAGAATTTTTTATTGTTTGCACAGATTATTAACTACATTTATAAGCTAAAACCAAAATTTTTACCACTTTATATTTATGTACTTTGGAAAAGAAAGTACTCAGAAACACTGCCAACCTTATAAACCATAAATCCACATAACAGCACTTTGATTCCAAAATAAAATATCCACTTTGTCTATTATTAAACAGTAAAAATATTCCGACTTAACCATATTGTGTGATGGCTGTAACTCAGAACTTATTTGATGTAGATTTCTGTCTGTAGGGGTTCTCTGGTCTGCAGACTAAGACTGGGAATGGATGCAGGGACACAGTTAAAGCTGTGTTTGGAATATGCAATCTGATATTTTACAAATGTGCATTTATTTAAGAAACTGTGAGGATATCTGAATATTTACTGACATTCCCCTAACTATTCATTTTCTTGCTTCAATCTGTTTAGGATTTATTTTTTTTTCCCAGCTGGAACTTCACATACATGCATTTCAATTTACATATGTACTAGTTCAGTTTAAGAAGAGCTTGAAAAAC